GCTAATTTATTGGCTGGCTAGTACATAAACATGTATCTGGACTTGCATATAATATTGCATCATAAGGATCTTTTGATGCTTCTGCGCATTCATTTTGATCGGTTTGCACACATTAATTATGATTTATTTGATTTTAGCTTAATGTTACATGGAGGTAGTCCTTGACTTACAATCATAATTGAGTCCAAGATTTTGGTTGCTAAACTGAGTTGTGAGTTATGCCTCATTTTATGACCCTTTTTGTGACTGTTGTTAAGCAAATCACTACACTTGTTAAGTGAATCATGCAGCCTTTAAGCAAATCTAGCTTCCCCCATTGACTTTGCTTGTCAGAAGCCAGCTGGGGAGATGGTGATTACATTATCCTGGGACAACGCAACTGTCATAAATCCATGCCAGTTGCCAAGCCCCTGAATCTTGATTGCATGACCATGAGGATGCTGTAATAGTTGTGTGTAAATGTTCATAAATCACCTTTTTTAGTGCTGTTGTACCCTCAAACAGTCACTAAATGAATGACTGTAAATTGAGGACTACCTGTATTAATTTAGATACTGTGGTTTATAAACCATGATTTGTGACAATGTTACACGGGAATAAAATTAGTGCTTTGTATGGTCAACAAGCTGTACATCAATGCACTAGTCAAGAGGCCACATGAGTCCTCCTAGCATCTCAGGATTTAGTAGCCGAGAAGCCAGTCTTCATTGGAACAATATTTATGTGGGGATTTGAAAGTAAGGGTGGAGAAGGGAGCGGGAGGCCTCCAACCTTCATTTCTCCCAAACCCCACAAAAGTGAATTGAAACGGGGCCGTTAAAAGATGGGTATGATTCTTGGCTGTGGGAACTTTTTTCAGTGGTAGAAATGGAGCACTTTACCCTCATGAAACTTCCTGTGCCCATCCCCCCTTCCATTATTCTCTCTCCTTGGAAGACTCAGAAAAATGAGCGCAAGGGCACTGTGATAATCCCTGGGAGCTTTCAGCTGCTCAGGGGAGTAAGTTGCTGCCCCTGAGAAGGTTCCCTGTCCCTGCTTAGTGTGATGTCAATCTCAACTTCCGGGTCAGTCTCTGTTTGACTGGCAGGAGACGTACAGAGCAGTGGCCTAGAGGCCATGGTCTCATTGCCTGGTGACTTTCTGCAGACTTGTAAATGTTCCTCCTTGGAGAATCATATGCCAGAGGATCTAGCATTTGTACTCTAACCAAAGAAATGAAATCCAGGTCCAAAATCAAGTTGCCACAATCCAGAAACCAACAACCAAATATGTCCCCCATTGGCTTCTCTACCTTTTCACCTATTTTGGGGGGAGGAGGGGGGAATCATTTTTCTTGCTCATACTCCTCTGAGGGTCCTTGTCTGAGAACTCAGTACAGGATTTTATATGGAGGGACAAATCTTTCACACTAACTCTGGTTTTCAAGATTACACTCAATTTTGTAGCTTTGTTGATCTTGTTTCACTTGTATCTTTCTATGTTCCTTCATGTGATTTGGCTTCAGCTGCAGAGAACCAGAATGGCAATGGGTTGATCCCCTCTGGTGGTGCTGTGCATCAACCCAGCATCTCCACCCATCCTACCACCAGTCGCATCACTAGGAGTCAACCCAACCATCAAGGTGGAAGCTCATCAAGCATAGGGTCCTCCTCAAACCCAGTCAGCAATGGCAAAGAGACAAGGAGAAGTAGCAAAAGATAGCAGGAGCTGTAGGTTCAAGAAAGTTTTGCCTCTACTGCCTGCAATACTGCTTTGTGCCTCCTTCTGAGGCAAAACAGCTGCTGCTGAGGAGAAGTCATGGATACACTAGCCTGAAGTAGAGACTATGGGAACAACGTAACATTTAACCACTGAAATGTATTTTTAACATGGGGTGTTGTGATTGGGTGAGAGATAACAGTCTTCAGTGTTTCTACTGAAAGGCTCAACTTGCCTTTTAGGAATCCTCAAATATTGTAAATTGCACTCGTTTTTTGCTGGAAATCAATAACAATTGACCTGCCATCTGTTTACCTGATAGTATTTTGTTCCTGTCCATTATCTTCCCAGAGAATAAGCTCCTGTAAGTTGGGCGTGAGTTTTGTACTTACTTTTTTAAATCTATGAATTGGAATGAATATGATTCATAACTTCTCAAGGAAGTGCAGAGTTGGGCAACGAGAACCGATGCCATGTTTTCCCAAACAACCTTAGGACTGGCCAATAACAGAGCCTTGTCATGTCCAAGAACCCTGGCAGCACAATGGTTAGAATGCAGTATTGCAGGCTAACTCTGCTCACAGTCTGGAGTTCGATCCTGATGGGCTCAAAGTTGACTCAGCCTTCCATCCTTCCAAGGTCAGTAAAATGAGGACCCAGATTGTTGGGTATACTGATATATACATCATATACTGATGTTGTAAACCTCTCAGAGAGTGCTGTGAAGTCTAAGCACTATTGCTATTGCTACAGCTATTTCTCCAAAAGTGACACTATCATTTACAGCAAGCTTTAGAGAGGTTTCTGAAAACAACATGGTAAAAGTACAGCAAAACTGACAAGAAATTAATCTTTGTTTAAAGTCCTAGCTTTTAATTATTATGAAAATTAATGGTTTTTAAACATTATTCAGATACAGATATTCGCTACTATTGAAAACATTTGATTATTGTGCGGAGATATTGAATTTTTTTACATTCCAGTAGAAGATAGAATAATAGGGTTGGAAGAGACCTTGGAGGTCTTCTAGTCCGCTCAAGCAGGAAATCGTATATCAGAGGCTGTTTAGATTGAGCTTCCTGACTACAGTCACTGCTCCTATTTTGGGTCTTCATGCATACACAGTCAAGTGAAAGATCATGTCTGTTTATCTTTGAACTAGAAGACCTATGCAAACTAAAAAAAAAAGCCAGTCAGAATCTTCTGACATTGTAAAAGTGTTATGGGGCATTTGTCATGTATATTTTAATTTAATATCTCTTTCCCATATGCATAATTAGAAAACATAAGGGACTATCCTAAGCCAAAGTTCTGTAAAGCTTGCAGGAAGCTATGTATATGTTGTCCGATTCTCACTTATTTGAAGAAGTATGAACAACAGCCTTCATCACAAACAGATCTAAACATTTTAAAAGGAAGAGGGAGGTCTTTACCCTGAATCAATTGCCAAAGTTACAACCATTTTAATGCCAATAAAACATCAAAAGAAATGTCTTACTTTTTGCTTGTAATTATGAATGAATGCAGCTGCTTAAACATTTAAATATGTTTTGAAATGCTTTGTTATATAGTTGTTTGGCTCCTGCCCCACCTTTCTGCTCTTTTCCATTGTTGCCCTTTCCAAAATAATTGCTTGGATTAATTCTTAAAAGAACTTTCTTGTTTACAGTGGTGTGGTTATTGAATGTACTAAATGAACAATAACATCTATGAATATTTGGGGAATAAATTTTAACCTTATCCTTTAAACATCTCCATGAAGTTAGATAACTCAAGATAAATAACATGAGTCAGATGTAGTCTGTGTTTTTGTTTGTAGGTAGCTCCCTTGGTATCATGCGAAGAATGGAGACATTGGGAATTAAATAATATTATCTATCAGATAATAATGATGCCATTTTACCGGAATTGTTTTCCTCTCCTCTCAGTTTGAAATACCAGATTGGAGTTTCATTTTCAGATGAAAATATATTGTGAAGGTGGTCTGAAGAAAAGCCATGATTTGGTTATTGGAAAAGTAATTAAAATATAAATGTAAGATTATTACTAGTAAATGAAAAGCTTCAACTTGAGAATTTTGCATGGCCATTGAACAACTGGAAGATCAAGCACAGATTTATGAATTATTTATTTGGGGTAAGAGATTGTTTTAACTATTACTGAACTTTGAAATTGGGAGAGCGGCAGTGTAATTTTTGGTAAGTTAATACTTAAAAGTATTTCCCCATTTTTCTTTGAGCTGGAAGAAACAGCAAGCTGTAGAAATATGGAATATTTTAGGGTTTCAGCATAGTTATCCGTACTAGGATATTGTCCTGTGCGCCCATTCTTGTAAAAAGTAATTGCCTTATCTGCAGAAAAGTGCTATAAACTTAACACCTACAGATGTATATGAAGAAAATAAATCTTTATAGTTTATATGTAAAATATCCACCCCTCCATCCACTGGAATAACCAGCTGAATGAACTTTCTGTTAGAACTAAGTTTCTAAAGTAGTTTTAAAATACACAAATCAAGGCAAGGGTGGTTTTTTTTTAGCCTCAGCTCAAATTGGTACTATGGAAACTATAGGCAAAAACACTTCTTATACAACAATTCGCTCAAATACAGACGTTGAGTCACCTACGTATTGCTACACTGCCTAATGTGTCTGGCACTCATAAACCCAATAATCTGAAACGTTGGTTTTTTTCTCTGATCAAGAGATTGCAATTTTCCTAAATTTCTTCACTTGGAAATTTGAATAAAGTTGGCCAAGTTTCTAGTAATTACCCTGGTCTGCTGCAGAAGTTTCTGAGGTCTTTTTCTAATTATTGCTTCAGATTTGGGGGTGTTTCTATTCCAAATTTTGCAGACGTTATTTCTTGGTCATGATTTGAATTGCTATTATAGCCACGCAGACGGCTACGAGTGCAGGTAAAGGTTAAGATACAGTCGCACCAGCTTTCTCCATCAGCTGGCAAACAGTAGTCTCATTCATGCAATTACAGACCGGTGGATATGTAGAGAAGTTAACAGTTAAGGAGGCTGAGCTTCCGTGAGTCCATGCTTTGGGGAGATCTGGCCACGCCCCCAGCCGTCCTTCAACCCCACCCCACTTCTTCCAAGCTAACCCCGCCTATCACCGCCACCTTGCTTTACTCGCCACGTGGGCTTGGGGGGGCTTAAGGGTCCTTTTGAAGAAAAAAAAAAAGAGTCGGCTTAGCAGCGCCTGCGCTTAAAAGAGCTTGCTCTCGAGGAGGGGGTGTTGTCTGACAAGTGGGTGTTGAAAGAGGAAGAACGGAGTAGATGTTAAGAATTTTCATCTTCAAGCGTGACCGAGGAAATGAAATTTAGTTCGTTGAAAAAAAAAGACAGGCAGAATGTTAGCCAGCCCGGGAAAGAAGACTGGGCAAGCGCCTCTAACCGGCACTGAGTGGGGGAATCCGAGGGAGCGCGAGGGTCCGCTGTGGGGGATGCCGGTGAGAGCGATGAGCTTGGAAACGGGACACCTAGTTTAGCGAGAAGTAATAGAGGGGTAGCACTTACAAGTGGGCGTAACGGAGCGAGTAAGAGCTAGGAAGTTGCTGGTTCCGAATTCGGCTCTGCCACGCAGGGCACCGAATGCCTTTGGCAATGGGGCTCTGAAGTTTGGTTCCTGGTTTGCACAGCGAGGGCGAATAACAGCGACCTGTCTTTAAGAGCTGTTGTACTTTAGATCATTGAGATAATATAGGCAAAGTAGTCAGAATACAAATACAAACGGCGCTTCTGTTACAAACATAGGAGGACTGAATCCTCAACTCGAATTTCGAGAGAGATGAGCTTGCAACTTTTATCCTGATTCTTGGACGTGCTGGTTGAAATTAATAACAGGTTGACTGTTATCCAAAATCTGGAGAAAATCTCTGAAAAAACCCCCACCGATACTGGGTAGCTCTCCTAGAATAAAGAGTAGAAGTAATATTTTTAGCGTTGGGGAGGGGAGGGAATTAAAGCTGGAATTACTGTGGAAAAAAAGAACAAAAATGGCAAATTAACAATGTTTTGATAGCGTAATCTGCCCCTGAATGTCATAATTACCTAGTTGCCTGCAATCCCTGTTCAATATCTTTCCTCATCTTACTAATAATATATATTAGAATCGCCAAGCTTGGTGGTGAGAATTTCATTTGCCCTTTAGTGTGAGTCAAGTTACCTGTATGATTTAACTCTGCCTTTAACATTTATCAAAATAAATAGTAGAAGCCAAAAACTGCAAGTAGCACTTTGAGGTTTAGGACTCATCAGTTATACTTCAGACTGCATTTTTCAGCATTCCCAATTAAAAAATAATTTCTATGTGTAAAAATAAAACGTATCTATGAAATCTTTCTGTCTTTGTGATGTGCTTTCCTCCACATTATAAAAATGTATGTGCATCTGAACTGATGTAGTTCTATGGTAAAACTTGTTTTCTGGAGTGTAGGTCTGGAGTGTAAGGAAGTTTGGTGTTTGAGAGTCTACAAAGTGGATCATAGCAACTGAAAAATGGGAAGATCATAGAAATAGTGAATACATCAGGAAAGGATAAAATAATTGAAGATTTTATTTGAAGATCTGGTAATGTAGCTGAGATGTATTCTGGATCATTCTTTGCTAGGTTTAAATCTATTTGATAAGCATGAATATAACCCACAAGGTCTGTTATGTTTGGAAACAATTTAACAACTGTTAAAATAGGAAAAATGTTTACTATATTTGCCAAATACATTTTGTCCTTCATTTTTTTTATATGTTAGGCATATATTAAAAAGAGAGATTACTTTTAATTTGATTCTCTATAGAAAGCATAGCATGCTAGCAAACATTTTACAGTTCTGATTACTGTACTTAAAAAGAAGCAAATAACTGGGAACCTGCAGTTCTAATTGCTGCCTTTTGGCCTGTTGCACAAAAGGTACTTTGTATTCTACACTTGCTCAATGATTAACTGCTACCTTTCACAATATAGCTTTGTATAAAGATGCTACAGTCCTGCAGAGTATGGGCATTGATGTGCTGGTGTTTTAAATCATGCATATACTTGCATTTTGCAAGATGAGGATGAGATTCTGAAGCTTTGCAGAAGCTTGCTTTGGGGTTTAAGGGTGCCCCCCCCAAAAAAAAAACATTCATGTTCATCTTGAACTTAACATCTGACTTTGCAGGTTGCTTGCCCACACCTAGGAAAATGAATGGCTGGATTTCAAGCACCATCTGCTTCTTATTGCTATTGAGTAGTGTTTGTACCCAGAAGAGCCAAGATCTCCGCTGTGGAGGTAAACTAAGCTATTTTTAAAATTAATGAGTTGGTAAAGTACTTAAACATTTTCATCTAGTCCCTGCAGTTCTCTTTTGTCCTAAAAAACTGTTATTTGATATGCATATTACTTTCTTTGCAGCAGAATCTACCCCTCTGCATGTACAAATACGCACATGGACTAGCAACTAAGATAGCTGAACAAATGCATTATTAAAAATATTTTGCCCATATTTATGACTGAATAGTTAGCATACTACATTACACCACAACCTTGTTATAACTTACTGACAGAATAGGATTCAAATGCCTTGTGCCTTATTTCTTCACTTATTCTAGAATGAATTTACTTGGTAGTATTTACTCTTCAGTCCTTGCCTTACTTCAAACTCAAATTCAAACCTTTATTGTTAGTGTACAACATATGTACAATTAGATTGGCTGAGCCTCCCTTAGTGCACCCCCCCAACACAATGCAACTCAATGAAACACAGAAAATCCCTAACCAGTGAATATTACTAACAAATACTTCTCTTAGATACTTCTCTCATTCCCCAAAACCTAATGCTTCTTTCAGACAATGGTCTCTCCCATCTAATTGCAGAAGTATTTCACATTTTTTCATTGTGGATTAAGCAATTGGCTTTCATTCAAATTCTTCATGGCATATGTAAAATAGTGCCAATGATGGGACTTAACAACAGAACTGCTTGTCATTTCTTGTAGTTGATTGCACACTGGACATTTTATGCCATTTGAAACATATTTTCTTCTTAACTAGGCAAGCCATGACTGGGAACTAATGTTCTGCAATATTTGGAGAGCTGTAAGTTGCTTAGTTCTACTTAAGTGCATGAGTATTTTTTTTAACGTGAGAAGCAAGATTATTGGACCTATCACAGAAAATATCTTCAGGAAGGGATCATATTAACACCATCTTTTTCCTGCTGTTCCTTTTGTCTTGCATCCTAGCTCCTGTTGTAATTCTGCTTGCTTATTAGAAGAGTAAAAAAAAGAGTACGAAAAGGAACATGCTTCATCTAGTGGTTAAGACCAGGAGTTTCTAGAAACTATAGACCCTCCCCCCTTAGTGATGAAAGCCAGTTGGGTGACTGGGCCAGACAAAGTCTCTCAGTCCAGCCCACCTCACAAAATTGTTGTTGTTTTGGGGAAAATAGGTAGGACTTAGTTAACTAGAATATATGTATGCTGATAAAAAAAATAACAGTAACAACAATAACATTGCAATTGCTACTGAAGGCAAAGAAGAATTTGGCTGTCTCTTTATTGCTGTTTATATCTCCTTTTCTGACATTGACTGTAAATTCTCTGCAGAGCTTACTACGGTACTAAATACATTTGTTACTAGGCATAGACACAGTCCCTTGGCATGATTCCATCTGCAGCATGCTGTGCTATAAATAATGCATTTGTTCAGCTGCTAAATACTGAAGACTGTTCTTAGCATGAGAGGGAAATCATGGAGTTAATGCCTGAGTGATGACTAGCTAGAAAGAAGAAAAAGAAAGAAAGGTTAAAATGGGACAAACGGCCACTTGACTGACAATTAGTGAGAAGGAAAAGCTGCTCTGAAATTTAGTTTAATCTTAGTTTAATGAGTTTGCTAACACTAATTTACATTCCTTTGTTCATTTGCTGAGATCTACAGCTGTGATTATAGGTTTGTAAAAAATCTGGTGACTCAATCCAGCACCACAAAAATGGAAATAAGTTGTGAAAGTGTGGAAAATCCTTATTAAAACTCTCCCTTAACAGTTCTATATATTACTGTATTGTTCTTGATAAATAATCATCTCACTAGTATTGATTCCTAAGTGATGTTTGCTTTTAGTATGCCGGGCTCTAGTGGATGAGCTGGAATGGGAAATATCTCGAATAGATCCAAAAAAAACCATCCAAGTAGGCTCCTTCCGCATTAATCCTGATGGAAGCCAGTCCATAGTAGAGGTAATATATTCTGTACTTGACATAGATTAGTTGAATCTTTGAAAATTTCCATTACAATTGCTGAAATGGGCAAACTGTGAAATGGTTAGAAAACTCACGTGAGGGAAGATTTTAAATTTCTGATGAGAGAGATTAAATAGAGGTTTCTTTTTATCCTGTTTCCCCCTACCAATTCCATACTCAATATATTGTGAGCAATATAATTAAGAGCTTTTCTTTTTATTTCAATATTGCTGAAAAAGTTAGAGCACCATCCAATAATTGTAGTCAGAAGATTATATCGTACTGTAAATATATAGTCACCTACAGTCAAAACATAGTGGGCTAAACTTTAGTGGCCCCTTGTCTACTGAAAACAATTACAGCTGCAAAAATAGTAATAAGTTAAATGATTTTACTGACTAAGTACATGATGATTCGTTCTTCTATAGCATAAGTGAGAGTTTTCTAATATTTACAGATCATACTTTGTATCTCCTGTGCCAGACTGAAGAAGGATTTGCAGTTATCTCTGATAAACAGGGAGAGCTTCGGTCATCTGTTTAACAAAGTATCCATTGGCTCTTAGGTGCCCTATGCCAGATCTGAGGCTCACCTGACGGAGCTGTTGGAGAACATCTGTGAAAACATGAATAACTATGGTGAAAAGATAGATCCTTCAACTCACAGGAAGAATTATGTCAGAGTAGTCTCCTTTGATGGGACCAAGATGGATCTTTCTGAAACCAAATTTGATGGTGATGTGACATCAAGCTTGAAGTTTGCAGTAAGTGATCCAGAAGGATGTTCTTTCTTTTAGATGCTCCTAATTATGATATATTGCTTTTCTGTAGAATATAAGAACCACAGACTAGATTGGAAGAAGCATTTAGCTCATTATTCTATTCTAAGAGTGGACAACCAAAACCTACAGAAGCTTATAAGTAAGACATAAATGCAAACATTTTCTCGTAGTAGTTATTCAATACAATCCAGTAGATGTTCTCTTTAATTTTAGCAACAACTGCTATTGAAAGATAACCTTCATAGCTTAGCGAGAAATTATTGAACTTGCATACATAATATTTCAGAAGATCTCAAGGGACACAATAGATTTTTAATCCTTTGCCTTTCTTTATTTGATTACTTGTAATCTGTCTCACATATAATCTGCATAACCATTCCCCACTTCATCCCAGTTTATATTTTACAACAGTCTAGCTATTTATGCATCTGGTGAAATGAATGCAATTTATGAAAGCTTACACCTTTTAATAAAATTTGTTAGGCTCTTTCTGATTTTCTGTCACAATAGACATAACAGTTTTCCTCTTACGTGACCTTAGTAATGAAGAGTTATGGTGACAAACAGCCAACATGCTACTTATATCTTTATGGTTACAGCCAAATTCTGATTGTATGCTGTGAAAGATAGATTGAGGAAGCAAAACTTTTTACGCCAATGATCGTGCCTTACAAGTATTATACAATAGAAGAGGTACACAAAGGATAAAAGACAACATTGATTTCTGAAACATTGATGAACCCCATGGTAGTGGTTCTCATGCCCTATGAAAATACAAGTATATCTTAAGTAGAGCTTTAGAAAAATGACAGGGCCTTCTCCTTTCCCTTCTGTCTCTAAAATCTTCAGAATTTTTTCCTCGCATAAATCAAGAGTTACATGATTGTCTTTTTCTCGGCATTGCTGATTCTCAAGTGTAGGGCCAGCAAAAGAGGAACTCTATCTGCTTCAAGAAAGTTGGTTCAGAAAATGTAAGAGCATAATACTGCTTTAATATAGTCATATTTCTGGGGCTCCAGTGCAAGGTTGAAAATTATGCAGCTGCTTTAATGAGCCAATTCATTAAGGTGGCTGTGTCTTTGATGCAACTTCTGTGTGGAATCTTTAAAAAAACAGCTGCTTTAAGGAAGCACTGTACTTGTGTTCTTGTGTGCTGGAGCACCTTTTCCAAATCATTTCCTAAGCATATACAATCTTATTACCTGTGTATTCTGTTATTACTCTGTTGAGGGAAATTGGAGAAATGTGAAGTCATACATATTTGACTTCCACATATAATTAATGGAATTGCATCCAGAAAGAAGTCAGAATATCCTGTTCATGGCTTCTGAAAAGAACAGGTTGTATTATGCTAATTAACTACCTCCCCTTCTTCCCAATGAACTGTGTTTTCTCTCTAGTGCATTTTGATTAAAGGAGAGTCATGGCAATTGCCCTGAGTTAAGTTGGTCTAGGCTTGCTGTGCTTTAAAATTGGCTTAGCCAATAGACCTGGGAGAATAAGATAAGAAACAGTTATAAAAAAGCTGCTCAGCTGAATTCCTGGTTTTCCTCACAGTGTGAGAAAATAGCTGAAGAGTACGAAGACGAGCTCATAGAATTCTTTTCCCATGAGGCAGAAAATGTCAAGGACCGGCTATGCAGCAAACGAACAGGTAAGCACAGAATCAGTAGCACTGTTGAGTTTAAAAAGATATGGTCTGTCATGGCTTTACCATCTATGGGGCATATAGGGCAGAAACCAGTCTGTAGTCTTTTGCTGACTGGCAAATTAAAAGCATGCTAATAATTGGTATAAAAAGAGTGCAGTCCATACTGAAGCCTGAAAGCTCCCTGGGTGACTTTTGCCTTCATTTCCTTAGCTTATTCCACCTCAGAGGGTGGTCGTTGTAGGGGAAATAGAAAGAGGGACTCCTCTGTATCCATCCATGCCTTGAGTTCTTGGATGAAAAATGCTGTGTTCATCAAATGGAATGTTCATCATTGGTTTGAACTTGCAATTTTAAAATATTATAAAAATACTTGGATAATATTTTAGCTGATAGCTGCTTCTCTCTTTTTCAGAAGAGTTCTGATATTTTTAAATTTTATTTAATCACACATCTCACCAAAATGACTGTGCAGCGTAAAACAAATTACTGTTTGTACTGTTCTTGGGTATTTAAATATATATATAAAATGAAAACACCTCTTCTGTTATTACCACCACATACATACAATGCTTCATGTGTTGCGTGTTTGTTATTTAAACTTCTCTTTTTCATGATACCATCAATTCCGTGAGTTTCCTTTCTTTCCCTTCTACTCAATCCAATCTTTCATTTTTTTTCTAACTGAATCCTCATTCATTTTCTCTGTGTGACCAAATCATCTCAATGTACTTCTTTAGTAGTGAGCACTTATGCTGAGTTTTGTTGGTTGCTGAATGCAAAAATAATTCAAGCTTGTTCACAGTGTTTGTTCTCTCTGAATCAATATGTAATAAATAAAGAGGTAAAATAATGAAGGCAGAAGGAAAGAAAAAATGTTGGCTTTGCTTAATTTTGAATCTGGCTTTTAACCTATTTGTGGCACTCCTGATAGAAGACATCCCTTAGTAAAGAAAGAAGGTCCCTCTTCCTGATATTGTAATTGTACCCCTGCATTTCATTTCAAATATCAAACAAATGTAATCATTTCACAAGGAAGGTGAATATTCTAGCTTTCAACAGACTGAGGACCAGCTGTTTGTTGGGGTGAAGTAATAATTAAAATCCTTTTTGGCCTGGGAATATCTCTTGTAGCTTTGAGCTAGTTATTTTCTTTTCAGCCAGATTTACTTCTTGCGTAAAATAGTTGAGGAGAAAGAATTCATCTATACCACAGGTGTCAAACTCATGGCTTGCAGGCTGGATGCATCACGTGCTGATCATGTCCACCCCCAGTTTAGCAAAGAGGAAAAAAGTCCAGATAATGTCAGTGATAATAACGTGACAACGTGTGTTTGACACCCATGAACTATACCATACCGAGCTTGGAGAAGTAACAGCACACAAATGAATATGATAAGGCAAGACACTATTAACATTAACTTCTGGGTCCATTGTTCAAAAAAATCTTTCAATATGTCCAATATTAAAATATTTTGCTTCATTCTCTACTTGTAAATTAAGATTGAGTGTAATATTTAATTGTAATAATTTAATTGTAATATTTAATTGTAATATTTAGGTCCTTTTAATTCCCTCTAGTATCCTGTGTTTAAGGTCTTATTTTTAAAAAAGCATACAGTAGAACCTCTGGTCACAAATGCTTCTGACCACGACCAAATTGAGTTTTGACCAAAAAATTCACAAAATTTTTGAATGTCACAAACACATATTTGGGTGGCGATCAAACATGACCCCTGATCCAGAAATTCCTGAAGACAAAACATTAGAAGACAAGAAGCCACCAAAGTTATGGAATAAATTATGGTCATGACCAGAGTTTCTACTATATTTCCACAAGAAGGATTCTTTTTAATTAATTCCAAAATCTTTTTTCAGATTTATCTGGATCCTTAGCCTGTTTGTAACTTTCTAAAATCAAAGTTCAATCACCCTGCTGCTGCTTATTCCATTTTGTTATGTTTATAAACCTGTAATTAAAGCTGCTTTCATTAAGTTTTGAAGGAAACTCTGTGCTGTAAAACCTGTCAATTCCTGATATCTGAAAAGCAGTTAATAAACAATTTCTGACAGTGATTAGAAAATGAAGTATGTGAACTTAGTATCCTTTCAGAGGTAACAACATGGCTACTAAACTGAGGTTTATTACCTCTTCAACCATAGTTCTAAACCTTCTGGAGACCTGCTGTCTGAACTACTTGTGGGAAATCTCAAGTCCTCTCCTTGTCTAGAGAGGAATTATTGAAGAGCTGTCTACTGACTCAGACAAGATCAAGACTTAGTTGAAACAGGATTTTTTAAATGCCAGGCTATAAGAATGACACAGTAAAAGATGTTACTCTGGGCATACAGAATAGAATAGAATAGAATAGAATAGAATAGAATAGAATAGAATAG